AACTGTTGTCAAAAATAAAGAAAGAAACCATTCAGAATGATCAAGATAACCGTACGACTAACTTGGGATAAGATTTTAACTAAGTACTCTCTTAAGCTTCCTACAAATTAGGGCAAAATGAAAAGTACAATAGGGTCTCATATTATGTTGGAAAAAAGTATACCAATTTGGAGTGAAAACTCTTTCCTGACAACCACCCATAAAGGAATGTGGAGTGAAGAGATCTGCGCTTGTGACTGAGGAACATTTCTCAAAATGCCATTAAAAACAAGATCTTGATGAAGGCCAAGGACACGACACCACATCACAGTTCGGTGACAGTGCTGACACAGGGACACAAAGACACAAACTGGCAGACACACTGTTTCCCAGTATTCGACAGCACAAAGAACATGCTCAGGGAGCGCAGATGAAAGCACACACAGCACGGTGCTGGCACTGACTTTCGCCTAAAAGTGGGGTCTACCAAACCATGGCATCAAGTCAGCGGGTCAACTCCGGGAGGAGGCATCTCAGTGAGTGAGGCGAGGACCCCTGGGGGTGCTGACACTGTCATGGTACTGAGGTGCAAGAGGAAGACCATCCCATGAAGTGCTGCAGGGGTGGACAAGCAGGCCCACAGTGTTCCCAGGACGTGTGAATCTTTCTGGGGACTTACCCGAGACCCCTGAGCTTGGCACATGTCAAGTCAGAGCACCAAGAGATGGTCTGCCCCAGAAGAACGCCAGGGGCAGGTGCTCCCCTCACCCACTCAGTAAAAGAACCTGCGTACTGCTCCGCTGAACATCTCATTTTGAATCGAACTTTGTTTTGATTGGTAAAGGAGGGTGAATTAGTAGCACAAATAAACCCCAAGCAGCTGAGTTACTAACTTGGTGGAGTTATTTCAATTTTGTCCAGCTAACATAATTATTTCTGTGTTAGTGGAGTTGATATTAAGGTGTTCTCAATGTCTTCTCCCACTTCTTAAGGCCAAAACCAAAAATCATCTCACCTAGCATAGAGGAGGACTGCTTATCTTACTACTAGTTAGGACAAGTGGGCAGGAATCCAATTCACCCAAGAAGTGAGTTACTCAGAAATGCATTAAAAGAACCGGGAAACACCACCTAGAATTGGCCAGTGCTCTATGAGTGGCTCTGGACTGGCCAGTGAAGCAGCAGGTGTCGAGGGGCAGTTCTCCTGTCCTCACGGCAGGGCCAGCACCCAAAGCTCTGGCTCAACCTGTGAATCCGAAGGCCGGTCTGCCTTACGAGCTTATCATCCATGCACTTACAAATACACCCCAGGGCTCTTGAACAAATGGTTCCATTAGCCACATGAGACTAATAACGCAAAGCATACCCAGGTTGTCATTCCCCTTGAAGAAAAGCGAGCGATGTTATCTTCAAAGTCAATGCCGCCTACTCCAATCACATCCATCTGATCAGCAGGGTTATTCAGCGTGCTAAATTGAGTCACAAAAAAACAAGGGAAGAGACACAATTTAAAATGAATAATTCAAATATGGTCAAATATTCCAAGAAAAATCTAAGACTTTCTTAGGTTCTTCTGTGAGGAGACTTGTGCAACTCTGACAGATTGCTGCTCCTCACTGACGTCCTGTGAAACACCATGTTCCCTGCCACCTTTGTGTTGTGCTCAAATTATATCCACTCACCTGGAAAGCCCTTCCTTTCTCCTCCTCCCTGTCAACATTATCACAGCTGGGCCCAACTCAAGGCTCACTTTTCCCCTCGCTACTCAAGGCTTTGAGAATCTCCCCTTGCTCTGAACTTCACAAGACTTAATATGATCACAATTCACCAGCTAATTATACATTCTTATATCACTTTCTAATTGTTCCAAGTATATCCATCTTGCCTCCCCAACTAGCATTAGATGCTTCTCTGGGAAGAAACCGTATCCAGCCATTTGCATCTGCTAAGGGTAGGAAGTTTTGCAAGCTTTCAACTGAGCTTTGCAGTGCTGCTCCGCCTTCCTCACAGGTAACTGTGGGCATGACTATCATTACTCTGTAATCTTGAGCTTGTTAGAGGAAGCCATTGGATGCAATACCACAAGCGCACTAGATCTGCAAAGAAATTATAATGAAATGAATAATGACAAAAACATGTTTAAACTATAAAGTCAAGATGAAGTTGAAGTATTTGAAAGTATGGAACAGTTATTAATCTGCATTTCTAAGCTTTATTACAGCTCCACTACCAAAAAAATGAACTCTTTGGCAATTCAGTAACTACAACAGATTCCAAGTGGCTTAGGAGATATTAAATAATACCAAGAAGTTCTAGAGCATGTGCTTTTAACCAAGGATTCTAAACTACACCAAATCAACAGTGGCACTGCCTTCTCAGCTTACTGGTCCCGAGTATGCTGCCAAATGGCCATTCAGAGGATCTAATAAGTGACTTTCTACTGGCTGATGCTAGAAATTTACAAAGTTCCGTGAATTCAAGGAGCAGGAGGGAGTATAGAAGTCAGTGACAGAAACACTCACTGAAGTTGACCAAAAAATGCCATCTTCCCATCCTCCCTCTACCTGTCAATCCCAGTAATACTCACTGCACTTTAAACCCTTAAAAAATAAGAGAAGGCATCAAGAGGGAAGAGCTAGGAAATAAATTATCATTCGTACTGAAAGGGAGGAAGCTACAGTTGCAGGTTCGCTGGCACCACAAAGTCTAACAGTGTCAAGAGTGTGGGACCCAGAGAAAGAGATCACAGGAAGGGGTGCCAGGGGACGTATGCCTTATTTCCAGAGGTGCTGCTGTGAGCATGTTACTGTCCTGGGACCAGCGCTGGGAGCAGTCCTACTGGACACCCAAGCAGTAAAACACTAACTGCCACAGACTGGGCTGCAGTGGTCACATGCCATTTCGCATCACTACTAGAGACAGCTGGCAGATGTCCAGGTCTGTGTGAGGCACCACAAGCATACACATAAGGTAGAGATGGGCTTTCCTCTCGAGGTTTTTTTCCTCTAATACACTGTAAATTCACAACTCTTTGATAAGAATATCAAGTGCAACTGCCCACAAAGCCACAGGGTTTTAGAAAGGCGACTGGTGTGTGACAAAGCAGTCAGGACAGCGTGTGAAAGAGCCGGTAATCCACACAGGTGTGAAACGGAGGATCAGCAGTAGGGACAGGTAGAGGGGACTTGCAACACACAGTGTCTACTGGAGACAAGACAGCAAGCCTAGATTTGAGGAAGATGTGCATGGAGCGGTGGAAAATAACACTGAGCCAAGAGAATTCTGGCAAGAGTTGGCAAACCATGGCCTGTTTTATAAACACAGTTTTACTGAAACCCAGCCATGCTCCCTCATTTCCACGCTGCCTATGGCTGCTTTCGCACAGCAGTGGCAGAGCTGCGTAGCTACAGTGGAGACCGTACGGCCCACGAGGCCTAAAATATTTATTATCTGACCTTTTACAGAAAAAATTTGCAATTACAGGCTAGAATATCAAAGACCTTGAAAACCAAGAAGAAAAATTTGATCTATTAAGCAATAATATTCCATTGTAGATTCCTGAATAGAGAACTGCTAGAATACATGTTTTAACAGTAGAAATACAGTAAAAAGGAAGAAAAAAGAGCAGCTACCACTCACAGAGCATCAGTACTCCGTCCTTTCCCTCTACTATCTAATTTCATCCTCGCAGTCACGAGGGCAGGTCCCATGCGTCTGTGACAGGTGAGGAAGCCGAGGCTCAGAGAAGTGAAGCCCCCCTCAGCCTGAAAGTGGCAGGTGGGACCTGTCTGTTTCCACATCTGGTTCCATCCCTGTCCATGCTGGAACAGCTGGGCTGGGCAAAGACTACAGGTAGGAAGACGGCCTAGGAACACTGACAGCTTGGGTGACTCTGAACTGATGAGTGCCAGCCTTGAGTTGGCAACATCAGAAATGGGAGAAACATTTGAAAGGGAAAACAAGAAAACCTGACAAGATGACTTAAGAATTGTGTTTGTCACAGTACAGCTACAGCTAGGATATGTTCAGGCCACTTAAATCTACGATGCACAATATACATCACTGATGCCAAGGCAAAATCCAAACCCTGGACCTCTCACGAAGGGACAGGATCATTTACCCAACTGTTAGTCTGGAACCATGTGACTGCCAACATTCATGTTTTCTGAGCTATATAAACATTAACTCCACATAATTTAGCCTCACACTGTGCCCTGGATGATTTGCGTAAACTCAGTTAATCCCCAAGACAACTTGCTTTTCCCTGGCAGGCACTTCTAGGACGTCCCAGCAAGATGCAATGAGTGTGCCCACATCATAAACACACACCCACCCCATGTGTGCCACGGACGAGCACACTCAGGCAGGACACATGGCAGGACACATGAGCGCACACACCTCTCTCTCCACTGTTATCATGGCACGTTGAGCACACACTCTGTAATCTTCCCTTTTCTCTTGGTGGTGATCTTAAACCCTTTGTCACAGTACCAAACTGCACACATCCTGGGTACTCAATAAAGGAGGGCAACAAACATCCTCCTACAGAAACCTTTCAGCTCAAGTAATTATTTATATACATTATCTACAGAAAAAAAATTCAGACCTGCAGGTAGAAAGAAAACTGAGATCCCTAACCAGACAAAAGTTGACCGGCTGTGAATGACAAATGTTTTGCATCTCATGCTGCTCAAATTCACCACAGCAGCCTGGTACGAAAGCGCGCCTCTGGGCCACCATCCTCTCTGCTGCCCTATCTGATCCCACGTCCACTCCCAAAGCACCATCTGGTCTCTGTCAGGCCCCAGCACTCCTCCCTTGTCTTGGTTTCCTTGCGTTCGCACCTGATCTTTCCCAGAAAGGCAGGCACCTTGCCTATCTGCCTCCTCACCACCTGTGCTTGTAAATAATGAGTCTCATAAGTACTGCTGAACCCATTTCTCTCCAACAGATTTACTTTCCTGATTGATTCTGGAGGGAAAAAATAGTTAGAATAAAAATTAATGTTTACAAGGCCGGACGCAGTGGCTCACGCCTGTAATCCTAGCACTTCGGGAGGCCGAGACAGGCGGATCGTTTGAGCTCAGGAGTTCGAGACCAGCCTGAGCAAGAGCGAGACCCCGTCTCTACTAAAAAGAGAAAGAAATTAATCGGACAACTAAAAATATATAGAAAAAATTAGCCAGGCATGGTGGCGCATGCCTGTAGTCCCAGCTACTCAGGAGGCTGAGGCAGTAGGATCACTTGAGCCCAGGAGTGTGAGGTTGCTGTGAGCTAGGCTGACGTCACGGCACTCACCCTAGCCCAGGCAAAAAAGTGAGACTCTGTCTCAAAAAAAAAAAAAAAAAATTAATGTTAACAAGCAAAGTTTTAAAAAAATTAAACAGAAGACTGACCATGGGCTGACAACTGCTGGAGCAAGCGGAAAGTACTTGGGGGTTCACTACACGTTCTATTTTCTGTATGATGAAAACATGCACAATAGAAAGCTTTACACAGATAAACTGGTATGCACAGGCAGGCGTACATATGGACAATAATCTTCCAGCCACCTGAGGGGAAAACAATCCCTAGGCTCATCCCTGTTGAGGCTACTCACCCATAAAGAGGTCCATCGTTGCCGATTGCAGAAACCATGATCACATTGTTAGCTGTTAACTCCCATACCTATGAAATCAGAAAGCATTTATTTAATGAAAGTCTAACACTTTTAAACAATCCACATATAATTTTCAAAACTAAATAAATAAATAAAACCCACAACTTCTAAAAATAGTCCTAAAAAAGAAGGAAAGCCTCCTCAAAATAAAACACTAGAGACAGAACAGGACCCTGTCTCAAAAAAAAACACAACAAAGCGCTGGATGATTACAGAGGTGAAGATGTCTGACAACTGCCACGCCCAGAGAGGACAACACCCCGAAGGTAGGACTGCGCAGAGCACAGCGCAGACACTGGCTTTCCTGGCTTTCCGGTCATTTTCAGGAAAAAATGGGGTTATATGTTTAGGTAAGAAAGAGTCAACAAGGCACCAAGTGCTCCTTATGAACACCTATTTCCCAGGCCTCTAACCCACTGAATTTATGACACGCGGGCCATTACAGTTCATGTCATTCATCATTTGTCCTCACAAAGCTGCCACCACTTGGGCAAAAAAGCTACCAGCACGCTGGAAATGACACACAGCTGGGGTTGCAGCAGAGCAGGAGCCGACACCCAAACACGACGTCTGTGTGCAGTGACTCGGCTGACCTTGTCAACAAAGGGATGATCCATGAAGTCGGGACCGCCGATGCTGAGGTTCAGCACATCAATCTTCTTCAAGATGGCATAGTTGAAGGCGTCCAAAAACCAAGATGTATAAGATACCTAGTTAAATTTTAAAACAGCCCTTTTAGTGTTTCAGTAAAAGTATCAAAGTGCTATGACAGTTTTTATTTCTAAGATTCTTAAAAGCATAAAGTATTTCTCTTAATATTTTTTGATTAACTTAAAACTCAGAAATAAATTCCAAGTACAAACGATGCTCTGGAATATAAAGTACCACACCCAGAAATTCTAAGTCCTTGGAGGTGAGCGCACGGAAGAGGGAGCTGTGTCCTGCAGGTAGCCTCCCTCTCTAGGTGTGACGTACAGCTCTTCGCTCACAGTATGCCTTCCTAGACAAAACCCTAAACTTCTAACTGCCCCTCTTAGAAAAGGATTTATCCTAAGACACTTCTACTAAGTCAAACACTCCTAAATAGTACAATGTTAAGCACTTCTAAGTAGCATGTTTTTGTCTAATACTCTTCATTCCTAAATAGACTGAAGGATAAATGGCAGCAATAACAGTGATTTCACAGTATTAGTTCTCTGATGTTCGATTCTTCCTACTTTCCTTACAGAAGTCATGTTAGTTTGTAGATCACCTTAAGTTTACAGTAGGCAGAGAAGCAATGTAATAATGATTGAGAATTATATTTTTAAAAGGCTTTGAAAAGACCACATATTTATATTTATTTGTATATGCCGAAGAAGTTCTAGGCGGAGGTATAAGAAATTAAGAACAATATCACATGGGAGATGTGGGGAAGTGAGGGAAGACTCTGCTAGATGAGGACAGGGTTGGGAGACGTACCACTGCAATGCCTTCTGGTATTTTTGAGCTATGTATTACCTATTCAAGAATTAAATTAAAAAAATAAACAAATACTAGGATCCTCCTCCTTTTCTATAAATAGTTTCCAAATGAAGAATGAGGGAACAAAGCTTGTACATTCCCATTACCCAACAAGATGCTAGGTGCGGGCCACAAAGGTAAATAAAACAGTCCCCACTCTCAAGGTGGCAGGAATCTAAACAGGCAAATACATAAACATACAATGACTCTACCACGGAAACACAGGACACGGAGGCACAGAGGCCCTGGGAAAACCTGCAAGTGAAGAAGAAACGGGAAATCAAGGAAATCACTGTATGTAGTAGCCTCGGAGCAGGGTCTTGGGGTTCAAGTTAGAGCAACAAAGGGGGTGGTGGGAGGACAGAGCCACGTCGAGAGCAGAAGGGACGGTGGAGAGACAGTGCAGCACACAAGGGGTGCAAGAAGTAGCTCAGCATCACTGACGTGTGCTGCTTTTAAATGGGAGTGTATAGTCCAGTGTTTTTACTAATTTTTACATTTCAATATCAATTCCTTAAAAGTTTCAGTATTCCTCAAAACACCTACCTGATTATTGGTAAAGACCCTGAAAATATGAAGTTCTGCATCTGGAGCAAATCCTTGGCATTCCCTCATACTGGCTATCACACCTGCCACAAATGTGCCATGGCCCAACCCTGTAGCCCATAAGGGGAAAAAGAATCCCATTAAACACAGTTGATAATGTAGGCCGCAACGCAACACTCCAAACCATCACTTCCACACAGACTCCACGCTCCGAGTCCTGGATGGAGAATCCCTGCTGCCGCTTCACTCAGAACTCACCTGACATGAGCACAACTTGAAGGTCTAGCCATACCTACTCTCCTCGAGACAAGAGTTGCTCCTCTACAAGGCATCCTCCCCACAACACCCTCCCGACAACACCCTCCCCACCAAATCTATTTTCCAGCATCCTCTGAGATATTCAGAAAAGCTTCTGCTATAAGAAAAGGCACAATAACTTGGGTTTGTCTGAATAACTGTTGACACAGACTGTGGAATCACTAGCACATAGAGAAACAGACCTAACACAGAGGAAGGGAGTGATGTCCTAACTCTGTAAGTCACCATGTTCTCACCGCCACACTGAGACCTACCATCGTCCAGGGTTCGCTCGTTGGTCCAGTTGGTTCTCTCCTTCACATTTTTGAAGTGGGGATGCTTCTCGCTCAGCCCAGTGTCAAAAACAGCAACTCTTACATTAGCACCTTATTCCAGGAAGAAAGAAAGTAACTGTGTTCGGAGAAATCATCTCTTTTGAATTTTTACCTGTAAAATACATTCCCTCCTGGGACCCACAGAAAATGACATGTCATGCTGAAGCCTGCCCAGAATGCAACAGGTTAGGTCAGATGCTCCAGGGGTTAGCTAGCTGAGCCAAGAATAAGAAAAAGGGATAGTGGGAGAAATGCCACCATTTGCTGCTAAACGAGATTTGAGAATCAACAAAATCTCTCTGGACCCTCAACTGTCCCCAATACTCAGGAACGGAACACCCTCGCCCACTCCTAGAGGGCTCCTCCAGGCTGTGGGTTGCCATCTATGACTGATCGTCCCTGGTAATTTACTACATGTCTCCATCCCCCCATCTCCTTGGAGCCGAGCGTGGCAAATGGGGGAAGCAGAAACTATCCCTATTCCTGACAAGGACAGCAATTTACTCAATGCTGCTCATCTACAACAACAAACTCTGCAGAGCAGTACTATTAACAACACGTGGCATTAATTACATTTCAAGGAAAATCATGATAGCACGCACTTTTCTGTAACGATGAGTCTATTTCAGATACTGGCCAAAAACCATCTGTACCAATGTGAAATATGATTGGCCTGTCAGATAAAGAAATTCTAGAATACATCCAGAAAAAATACAAGATACTTGTATTGTTTAACAGCTAACCAATGTAAAGAGGGTAATGTCTTTCTGGTATGAGAGTTGTTTACATACCAATACTATGTTAAATAATTACACAGTGATAACTATCAAAATTATTGCTACTTTTTTAAAAAGTACAAATAAAACTGGAAACAATTTGGTTTGGTGACAATGGTTTTCTAATGATTAGAGAATTTGTTTTGTGAAGCAGTTCTCACTCTAAAAAGATAAAACCAAGAGGAGACAAATATTTTAATAAAATGTCAGTCCACCAGAGTTAAAAATTTTCAGGGGGCTAAGATCAAAGGAGAGGTAAGAGTCTCTAAGTCAAGGAGATATGGGAAAAGATATCTAGACCCGTGTGACAGCCAATTACTTGGTCATTCTGCATACAGGGCACTTAACTCACGTGATAAACTAGTTTTCATGAAATTGCCCATGTCAAAGCGACCATCTTTGAATTTGATCTTTTTCCCTGAGAAATTACAGACCTTTGCAGTACTGCCAGCCAGCTCAGGCTGTGAAGCAGTGCTGTGTGTGTTTGTGTATATGTCAACAGAAATGACTACAATCTGCCCCTTCTAATATCAGAAATGGTAACAAAAATAAGACATAAATGGTGACAATTAGAAAAGCCACAGAAACCGATGCCTGGCATAACAGGAATAGAAGATGAGGGGTAAATGACTACGTCCAGCCCAACAAACAGTAAGAGGAGCAGGCGTGTAAGGCTGCGGAGCATCGGCACTAGGCACTCCCACAGACGGAATCCCTGGACACCAGACTTGTGCTGCTTCCCCAGTTATTAGCACACACCTGTATACCCCATCTGCCAAAGCACATCTGCCTGCAGTGTCTGCGCAACCTGGCGTGGAATGGCTCTCAGCAACCGTCTACTCGAATGCCTCCCTGTAGCATGCCAGAAGCCAGAGCCCAGGGAGAGACTGGCTCTTCGCAGGGGACGAGATGACTGCCACTTCTGGCTCCATCGGGTTTCATTGCAGGGCACTATGGGGTCAGCTAGAGACAAGAAAGAGAAAGGTCAGAGCAGAAGAGGAAAAACAAACTACATTGCACCTGTCAGGCAAAACAAACATTCCAAATGCAATGATGATGATCTCTTGAAATCCTATTTGAAGGAAGTGGGATTTTCTCCCTTTTCTAGAATTTTCTCAATGTAATTATAATCATAGGACATTATTTAACTGTCAATATTATTCCCAAATAGCTCTTTACTTGAAAATTTTGAACCAAGGTAAGGCGAAGAGGAAAATAAAGCTGACTGTGATACTAAAACTGAAGAGAAACTTGATTTATCATCAGTAACTTGTTCTCACTGTTCTGGCCAAACATCAACAGGACCTTTTTCAAACTGTATATTGCTCAATATTGTCAGTATTCTTATCTGCTAGAATTTCACCTTTCAAAATACAAAGGAGTGAGAGATGGGGAATTTTTGATGGTAATGGAATTATTTTACACCTTGATTTTGTTGGTGGATATGTTTGTCAAAACGTGCCAAATTGTACTCCTAAAAGATGAATTTTACTATCTGTAAATCTCTTTATTTTTAAAAAATCAAGGAAAAAACAAAAGAAATACCACAAGAGTTTTCCCTTTACCTTTCAAAGTCCACATCATAATGATGAACAAATCATATTTCAAATGCATTTTAAAAAGAAAAATACTACTGCAGTTCTATTTCTAAAGCAAATTACTACCACTTTTATTCCATCCTTACCAGGCTACACCCATGGAAGTACAGGGACTGAGAAAATACACAATTGTGTCAATTCCATTAAATAATTATTTGCACAGTCCAATAGAAATCGTTCTGCATTGAAATTGTCACGTCGATGCGGATCTTTAAGTCAATAGCATGAGACAATACTGGAGTTACTAATTGAAGAACAACATTTAGAACAAGGAAAGGATCTATTCTGCTTTACCTTGAACATACCAGACTAAACCTGAGGTATTATATTCACTTCAGGGCTTCACAGTTTAAGAACAATTTAGCAAAACTGTAGTGTATTCAAAGGAAAACACTTAAAATGGTGAGGGGACTTGAAACCATGTCATCTGAGTAACTGCTGAAGGAACTGGAGATTGTTAGCTTGGAGAGAAGAAACCATCAAAGGGGATAACACACGTATCTTCTAATATCAAAAAGACAGATACCTTCACAGTATCTCTAAATAACGTCTTGTGGAAAACAGGTTAGCTTTGTCTTATGGCCGGTGGGATAGAGCCAAATGGACGGGCTCCAGAGTGAGACACGTTTCAGCCCAAAATAAAGCAAAACCTCTACCAATAATTTTATCACTTACAACATTCTGAACACTCTGCTAAGCTCTCTTCGCATTCATTATTTCTTCTCATCTTCGTGACAACTGTGAGGTAGGTAGTATTATCTCCATTTTATGGATGAGAAAAATTGAAGCTTAAAAATGAAAAGGAACTTAAAGCTCAAGGTCATAGCTAACTTCAACAACAGGCACATCGATAGGTAAGTATCTCCTTAGGAGGGTGTCAGGCCCAGCCCCGTGACAAACAGTGGAGATGGTGTAGAAGGCATACCCACCCTCACCGGCCCAGGAGGGTCTATGACTCTTGTGCTAAAATTAGGTATCTCCTTATTTCCTAAAGCATTCTAGAGCTCTTTAAGATAAATGAAATGAAATAAAAATAAAGTAAAATGGCACAATGTATACCTTTGGCTAATTATACCAAATTTCATTTGCTTTTATCTTCCTGAATCATTTTGAGGTATTACTGCTTTTTAAGAAGAATAATACAAAATTACCTAGACTGACACAAAAGGCTCTGAAGAAGTCAGACACCTGAAGTCTACAGCTGACTCAAGAACTGGCCTGTTGTACCATGCAAAATAGTTAACTTTTCCTTGGTGTTGTTTTTTCAAAAAATGCAGCAAAACCTCAGAGGCTCTCAGGCCTAGTATATGAAAGACAAAGAAATAAGAGTAAACTTTTATTTCTTCTTTCTTTCAATGAAAGAAATGATAGTAAATAATAATAGAACCAGCAATTTATTAACGTAGTTTATGATAAATAGGAAAAATAATCTTTCCTTTGATAATACATATACTTTGGAAAATATCATGTAATAAATATGCAATTTATTGTTTGAGGATAAACTTTGTCTGGACGAGCCCAATTGTAATGAAGTAGGAAAGACTAAGCCCTCAAGCTGAAAAGCAAAAAACCAGATTCCTTCCATCCTCGCACCTGCACAGCTGATGACTTAAATAAACCCAGCTGAGGCATGACTGTTCATGGTCAGGAGACTTTGAGAAAAACAAGATGAAACCTAAGGAAAAGATCTTTTGCAAGAGTGCCTTAAAAAATAAAAACACATACTGAGAGAAGCAAAATGCAAGCAAAGAAGACACACAAAGACATGGCCTTTCCTTTCCGCATGTCAAGGGGGCACAGCCTCCAAGTCTAAAGGCTCTGAGACAAACCTGGGTGAAAATCATTCCAACAGAAACAAATCACTCCCATCCTCTACTGTAAACGCTCATAGTTTTTTCTACCAGAATAGCATGAAGCTTCTTTTTAAAAAAAAAAAAAAATTCTTGCCAGGAAAATGTTCATAATTGGTGAACTAGATGAAAGGACGTGGGTATTCACTGTACTATTTTTCAATTATTCTGCACTTCACAATTTTCAAAGTGAAACTAAAGTGATATAAAACCTTGCCCGTGATCACAATACTCACACTCAGCATACTTGAGGGAACGAAAGACTTTCCGCTGGGGTGTTACCCGTTTGATGTTTGGATGATCTTCAAGCGTCAGCAGCCCCGCTTTCTGCTTTTCTTTTATCTGAATCACCTCAAAATCACTAGGGTAGTCACTGGATGGATTGTTTCGAGGTATAATTCTCCAACTGTCTACTTCACTGCTCTTCAGGGCACTGGAAATAAATGAATTCCTAGCTTTGGCTGTAAAGTATCCATTGAAAGCCACAATATATTCTGAAACCAATGACCATAAATAAAAATAAGAATTTATGTACACATACTATAACGCAGACTGTATTATATCTAATATAAAATCTGGTAAAAGAAAAACTATGTATCTTAAAGTCCACAGTGAAAAAGAACCCAAACCAAAAAAACTAGTTTAAATGCCCTGACAGCTGTTTGCAGAGCTTTGAGTTAAAACGACGACCTATGTGAATCCCCTGATCACACAGAATACATCATACAAAACCAGGTACCTGTGATAGTTTTTTAAAAAGCAAATATCTACAGAAGTTTAAATACACAGCAAAGAAATGTACATGGCCGGGTGCGGTGGCTCACGCCTGTAATCCTAACACTCTGGGAGGCCAAGGCAGGTGGATGGCTCAAGGTCAGGAGTTCGAGACCAGCCTGAGCAAGAGCGAGACCTCGTCTCTACTAAAAATAGAAAGAAATTATTTGGACAACTAAAAATCTATATAGAAAAAATTAGCCGGGCATGGTGGCACATGTCTGTAGTCCCAGCTACTCGGGAGGCTGAGGCAGAAGGATTGCTTGAGCCCAGGAGTGTGAGGTTGCTGTGAGCTAGGCTGACGCCACGGCACTCACTCTAGCCACTTTTAGACTCTGTCTAAAAAAAAAAAAAAAAAACAAATGTACATAATTCTTTCAAATAGGAAAAAGGAATTCAGAGAACTGAATGCTCAGTTTTATCTTAATGAAAATAACAAAATTCCAGAGTGGATTTTATTCTTAGTTATTCACATCTGGTCACTTGACCTTTAGAACATAAACATTCAGCACCTCCAAACCCCCCACCCTCACCAGCTACAATGACATCTGCTCTGCGGAATCAAGTTGCAGGTAAAAAAATTAAGAGTGTCAATTTCCTTGTTTCACATAAGCTAACTCTATCGGGGAAACAAACTTAAGCAAAGTTAATATCCACGTGCTATGCACTCACCCCATTTGAAATTTATTGTAGAAAAAGGGGACATGTTCTCTGACAAAAGCTAGGGTTTATATTAAGTTTGAAAAAAATAGGATAGGAGGTCCTAACATTTAAGACAATATCATTACCATATTCCACAACTGTCGATGAGAATTCCACCTTCAAAGTCAGGTGGGAACAGCCAGGGCATGGGGCCTTTTCAAAAGATTTCTTTTCCAGTCTGTCACCCAGATGTTTCTTCCCACAGAGCAAAACCACTAGCAGAAGCAGCCAGATGTTGACAAGCTTCATGGTCACAAGTGAATATGGTCATAAAATTGCACAAATTCGAATCACACTTTTCTTCCTTGATTAAAAGTGAATTTTTGTTTCGGCTAAAAACTGCAACATTGCTGATCAGCCATCTTACAGTCTTGTCCAACGTAAATAAAAGTTAAATCCCATGGCCTTTAGTGGCTTGGCCTGAAAAGAGGCTTTCATTTCTTTCTCCGCTTCTTCTCCATCTTGGACATGAGGCTTCTCTCACTCAGGCCGAGACAACTGAGTCCTATACTCCATTTGCGCCACAGAACCAAAGTCCGACAGAGCTGATCAGTCACTCTGTGAGCCAATCTATGAAACAAAAAACAGCACCCATGGACATCAGTAGCGCACTGACATGGCCAGGTACGATTTACTTATATTTACAGTTTAAGTAAGAAGGTTAGCCAGGCACAATGGCACACGCCTGTAGTCGCAGCTACTTGGGAAGCTGAGGTGGAAAGACTGCTTGAGCCCACGAGTTTGAGTCCAGCCTGGGCAACATAGTGAAACCCTGTCTCTAAAAAGTAAAATGAAATAAAGTCAATTAAGAGGGTCAAAAAGATATCCCAGTTATAAGACAAATGAATGTAAAACACAACCATAAAACATCTTATTATTTCATTTTTATTTACACATTTTTCACTGCTTTCAGGAAAATATAAAGTTTTAAAGCATCTTCAAAAGTAAAAAGGGATAAAATGAGAAAAGTGGAAAAAACTAAGGATAACAAAATAACACCAGGCATACTAAACACGTTGTCCCTGAGCATCCCAGCAGCCAAAAAGAAGAAGGAATCATAACCCTTTGCTTGTGATCCTTTACTTTGCTTCTGTTTCAGAGTCTGTATTTTCCTATCACTTGCAACTCTTCATCTCCAGGACATTTCCCAATCAGCACTTCACTTCCCCAAAATTTCACCAACTTTTCAGGCAAATTCTTGGTATACATCCTTACTTTCTACTGTAAAATTAACACCTAAGAACAAACTAATTTCCATATAAGTTGACTTGTTCTTAGGTTAATTCATATTTAACACCTTCTTTAAGGGACACTGCTTTAAAATTACCCAGATTTTAAAATATTTTCTGCCGATTCTATGAAAAAAGCATGGAAGGGTTTTTATTGTCATTAGATTTATTTTATCTAAAGCCTCAAACTTAAAAAAAAATTAATCCGCTAGTAAATCTGTTATAAAACCAGATTACCTCTTTACTGGAAATGATATGAGAGGACAGTTTGTGGGGGAAGCTACTACTAAAGAAAAATGTTATCTGAGTATTATCTTACACAAGGGCATAGATATCTTTCAAAATATCTGAACTGTAAGAAACACTGAAATTCTTCACAATGAAACAACAGAGCAGCAGTAAAAAACAATGCTGGCTGCAGCATGCCTAGAAAACTCAGTTGTACAGATCACATCTGAGACATCAGTAATTCAATTAATAAATTAAACAAGATAGGCCTTGTGCTGCTTGCTTTTGGAAAGAAAACATTTAGGAAAAGGAGTTAGCCATCTTTCAAGAGACGTATGTCAAGGTGTTAAACTCATTCTTCTGGTAGAAACTGGTGCTTTATAGCAACAAAGAGTTTTTGTTTTCTGGAACTATCCATGTGTGCTTCTACAAGCAGAAAAACATTGATAAAATACTATGACAGGTTACAGTATCTAAAGAACTTTTAAAGATTTATTAAACAGGACTTTCACTGCTGTAATAAAAAACGATCCCGAAAAACAAGCCTATCTCTAAAACTGGCACCGGAGACTAAGGTTAGTAGAAACAGAACTCAAGAGAGAACAAATGAAATTTTTAAAATTATGTCCGTCTCAACGAACTTCAACCCCAAGAGCAAAGACATTAAAAACAAAGACCAAAACAGAAAAACCAGAGAGAAAGAGCAGAGGGCACTAAAGCCGCTCTTAACATATTTTACCGCAATCCACAAAGGAGTGAGCCGTGGTATTTTAGTTTGTTTATGCTTGACGCTCTCAGCAATGGGGTATCACAGAATATAATCATATGAAGCATATACCTAGCTTCATTAGAGATTACTGGTCAAAGAAAATAAAGCTGGTGATAA